GCTGGGCAGGGCGCGCAGCGGCGCAGCGCGCGGGCAGGGCAGGGCGCGCGGCGGCGCGGCGCGCGGGCAGGGCAGGGCTCGCGGCGGCGCGGCGCGCGGGCAGGGCAGGGCGCGCGGCGGCGCGGCATGCGAGCAGGGCAGAGCACGCGGCAGCGCGGCGCGCGGGCAAGGCAGGGCGCGCGGCGGCGCGGCGCGCGGGCAGGACAGGGCGCGCGGCGGCGCGGCGCGCGGGCAGGGCCGGGCGCGCGTCGGCGCGGCGCGCGGGCAGGGCAGGGCACACGGCGCGGGCAGCGCGAGGGCAGGGCGCGCGAGGCGACGCGACGCGCGGGCAGGGCAGAGCTCGCTGCAGCAGGTGGCGCGCGACTCAGCAGGGCACGCTGCAGCAGATGGCGCGCTAGCAAAGCAGTGCGCGCTACTGCGGGCGGCGCAGGGCAGGGCAGGGCAGGGCAGTACGACCAGGGCTAATTTTATCAGGGTAAATCACCCTGATACCCTGATAATCAGGGTGGTTTTTGACTGTCACACTGATGCCTTAGGGTAATTTTTTCAGGAGCTTGTATTTTCCTGATAGGTCAGGGTTTACGTTTAAGGTACACTGACGGCCCAGGTTTACCGATCTTCGTAACGAGCTTTACCCTGAATCGAGTACATACCCTCCCCAAGCCCCCCCCCCACCCCCCCCTCCCCCCCCCCCCCCCCCCCCCCACTCTACCCCACCCCCCCTTTCCCGTAACCCGAGGTTCTCGCGTGCCAACTGTCGAAACTGAAATTTGGCAAAGGCAATATCTGAGCTGGCACGAGGGGGGCCTCCATTGGCCAGAAATACAGTTTCGTTATTGCCTGCCAACGATGATATCAATACACTAGGGTTTGCAAAACTGGTACACTGAACCTAGGGTATAATTTTCAAAAACTAGGAAAACCCTGATGGATCAGGGTTTGAACAAGTTGTCACACTGATAATCAGGTTTTTGGACTTCTGCAACACTGATCACAAGGGTTGCTGAAAACCAAAAATTAGCCCTGAGTACGACGTGATCACACTGGCGCGACGGGTGGGGTAGCGCTACTCGGTGGGCCCTAAGAGATCGGTCCTAGGCTAGGACTTGCTCTGAAACCATGTTATAAGAATGAACAGGAATGAATGATTGAACTAGCAAGCAGGTGGGTACAAGTAGGAAAACCCTAATTGGGTTGTACCCCATATGGGCTACCCCACTACAGCCTACACAAGCTATAGCATATAAGGTTGACACCAAACCCTAAAGCAGTTCACGCGCAACACTATCCGTTCAGTAATTCCAATGCGCGCTTCGAATCTGTTTAGGTAGCTCAGTCGTATAGATGTTGCTGGAATTATCGGAAGGTCCTGGTTTCGATTTTCTATGCCACCATTTTACAAATCCCTACTTAGAAAAAAGCATCAAGTCCCACACAATCGATTTACATATGAATTCAAGATTCACATAAAAACACAAAAATCACACAATTCATTTTAATCCAAATTTGATGAAGTAATCAAATACGTTCAAAATTCTAATGCATGTTACAAGTGTTGCTTCGCAACCCTAAGACGATTTCGTTGCCTCTTGTTTTGTTTTGTTTTTTTTTGTTTTTTTTTTTGTAGTGACTTTATTTATCGCAGTGTTATCCTTAGTCTTTTAACCTTGTATTGCACATGACATAGAGACACGAGGTATAACTGTTGGAAATACAATCATAAAGTAAATTTATATGTTGTTAGATATTAGTGTAGTACCCTTTATAAGACTCCAGGTCCTACAATAATTGTACAATTATTGTAGGGCCAGAATTATTGGGGGTCTAGAATTATTGGAGGGTAAGAGTTATTGGTGGGTAGAATTATTGGTGCACCATTATTGGTGTGGATGGGTGGACTTTGGAGGGTTAGATGCATGGATAAATACCTTGCTGTGTGGTGCCACAATCCAGTCCATTGTTTTGAATCCTTTCAGTTGCAAGTTTCTCTTACTACTTATTCTACAATCAAGCTTCCGCAACAACGGCACTATGCCTTTCTAGCATGGTATCAGAGCTACTCTAGGGGCCATGCTGCCGAAATTTGGTCAGAACCTTATCAGCATTCACATTGGACAGGCATATTAGCAAACCCGCACAGCAAGTGACAACATTTGGATTGAAGGCATGACGCGGTTCGACGATGAAGTCGATGCTGGATACGAGGCGTTTGAAGAAGCCATCATGGCTCAACATGAGCACCTGGAGAACATGATTGCAAGGGCACCACCGACACTCCAAGCGTCATTAAGAGCAAAGTTCAACATGCCAGCCCAAGTTCGAGATTTTAGCAACCCATCCATCCGTGAACAATCACATGCAAGCACTCCGCGTACTAACCAAACCCATGCTTCAAATATGGATGCAGGGATTGAAGGTGAAGGATAGGGAGGCTTACCCCAAGGAGGAGATTCATCCCAAGGGAGGGATGCATCCTTCCAAGGAGAGGGGAGCTCCCACCCCGAACCTCAATCAACCATGCAAAGGGAAGCAACGGGGAGGGATGATGCGTACGGGATTGGAACGAATGTGATGAAGCATGGTGATGGGATCGGCATGGGAAGAAACATGAGAGGGCAGATTGGGGAAGGGAGTGGTCGAAGCAGTCATGTGGGCATGGAAGGTGTGGGATTCGAATCCTACACTATTGGTGCTCCCCCACTACGACGTCTTACTACTAACTCCCATCCCATTGGAGTTCCCGTGATTGGCAGATCTCACCTTTTTGGCAACAACGTCGTACCTCCTCGTGCGCCACGGTCTCAAATGGAAGCTGTACCTGCAGGAAGCATGGGGCGCATGGGACACGGGATGCAGTCAAGTGGTGTTATGCGACGTGATCAAGTGGAAGTGGTGGAACGTGAAGGCACACAACGCATGGTACAACTACATCGACCATCTAACGTGCCTACGCTCTTCGACCCGTCTCCACGCGAGTACACGGAAGAAGACAAGGACAGGTTGTCACGCAAGATGGTGGGAGCAGCGGTGGACAAAGCGTTCACAACAACTCCATTCGACGGCACCAACTTTCGAGAGTGGGCTCTTCGGTTTCGCATGAACGCGCGCGTGACCAACCTGTGGGAGTTCTTCGTGACGCTACAATACCCAGTTACAATGGTGAATGGAGAAATGCGAGATGCAATCGAACGGCTGGAAGTTCTACAAGCAGATTGCTCACAACGTGCTACGCTGGCTTTTTGGGTGCTTCTGCATAGCGTGAGCGCAACGATTCAGCTGCAACTTGACGTGTTTCAAGAGTCATACAGTCCGGCATTCGAAGCATGGGAGTATCTGATGGAGACTTACCAGGCGAAGGATTCGGTGGCAAAGGTCGTGCGCCAGTCGCTGCTGTTGGTCGTCACGGGCGCCGATGCGGCTGTGCGCCTGATACTGCAGTTGTCAGCATCTGCAGCTGCGCGTCATGAGCAGCAGCCGCGCAACAGGTCGCAGCTGCGGGAAACGCGCATCTGGCACTGCAGGTCGTCACGTCTGCTGCTATAGCCGAACGCCAGACATTATAGCCGAACGCAGTGTTGGTTCATTTGCGCAGTGGCTGTTACAGAGTCAGGAACAGTCGCGCGGCAGTTTCTGCAGTCGTCGCACGGGCTACTACTGGATCGCGCGCCAGGAGCTAAGCCATAATTTCGCCGTGAAAATCGTCAGCGGTGGCAGCAGCCATGGCTAGGAAACTATCGATCCGGAAGCTCCTCCACTAAACGAGACATTGGCAATCGGAAATGGCGAAATGACTTGACCCCTGCTGGAGAAGGGTGTGGGAGAAACGAGAGGTGTGCATGGCGACAAACTGAACCAAGAGCATGACAGGGGAGCGTCCGGTGCACAGAAGTTCGAGAGGGTGGGACGAGAATCAGAAACCCTTGACCTGAACGAGGGTCGCGAGAATTGTGAGGCGGAGAATCAGAGCGCAGCACTGAAACACCTGAGCAAGGAAACGTGCATCTGAGGAAATTGGGAACGTGCGGGAGACATCGTAACTACTGCAACAGTGTTTCCGACCAACGCGGTGTCAACGGAAACCCAACGGCTAAGTCTTCACCGCAATTACCGCCGTGACCAAATTCAGTTCAGGAATCCACTCCACCACCCTATCGCCTCCGCAATCAACGCCATTTACACATTATCCTCCACAAACAAACTCACTAAAATCTACAGCAAGGGGGAGTGTTGGAAATACAATCATTAAGTAAATTTATATGCTGTTAGATATTAGTATAGTACCCTTTATAAGACTCCAGGTCCTACAATAATTGTACAATTATTGTAGGGCCAGAATTATTGGGGGTCTAGAATTATTGGAGGGTAAGAGTTATTGGTGGGTAGAATTATTGGTGCACCATTATTGGTGTGGATGGGTGGACTTTGGAGGGTTAGGTGGATGGATAAATACCTTGCTGTGTGGTGCCACAATCCATTCCATTGTTCTGAATCCTTTCAGTTGCAAGTTTCTCTTACTACTTATTCTACAATCAAGCTTCCGCAACAACGGCACTATGCCTTTCTAGCAATAACAAACAACAGCATCCACACATCCTTATGCAGGCTTTATGTCACATATTTACAATCGCCCCCCATGTAAATCTCACATCACTCACTTCGCAAGCATCATGGTCTCACTTAATCCTAAGGTCGAAATTCAGAGACCAGACCATCTCAAACAGCCAGCCCAACCTCAGCCTCAATCCACCACGTGCTCAGCTCTCATCACATCAGTATCAACCGCTTTAGACCGCTCTGGAAGCTCCCAAAACTCCCGGAAGCTCCGCAAACGTTAGCAAGAATGGACCATGTGTGCTACATCGCTTTCGACCACTCCGGAAGCTGGTGGGCAACTCACAAGCCCAGAATACACCCTAGCCCAAATGCACCATGTGCTCTGCCCTCATCACATCGGTCTCAATCGCTTCAGACCACTCTGAAAGCTCCAAGACCCGGAAACGTTAGCCTGAATGCACCATGTGCTCTGCTCTCATCACATCGGTATCAATCGCTTTAGACCACTCCGGAAGCTCCCGAAACTCCAGGAAATGCGCAACAACCCCTAGAATCCGGGGATCTCTGAAATACGCCCCGTGATTCAGGTCAAACTTACCCGTGAGCTCTTTAAACCGATCCTCAATCATGACACATAGCTCTTTAATCTGCCGCACAAACTCCTGCGGGGTAAGCCGAGGGTTCCGCCACATCTTTTTTATGTCCGGCTCGAGGCACTGGTAAGTAAGACACTTAGCGGCTGCTTCATCCAGCTCCTTATCGTCCCATAAATACTCGTACAGTAGTTGCTCCTCCCCATGCTTCTTACCCTCCATCGTACCCTCCTTCACACTCCCCGTTGCATGCCCCGAGCTCTCAGCTTCCCCATCGTACTCTCCTCTCTGGAATGCACCACCGTTCTTGGTCCTGCTCTCTTGCGCCTCGTTCCCTGTCAGCTTTTGAGGCACCTCAAAAGTCACCTTGTTCTTGGGCCTGCTGGCCTGCTGCTCTGTCCCTGCCGGCTGCATGATTTGGTGCCGTTCCCCTCGTGTCCGAGTGTGAGAGTGAGAGTGAGAGGGGTCAGACGAGTACGAAGAGTCTTGACTTGCGCTGAGTGGGAGGAGAGGACGATCAGGAGTTACATCTCCGGCAGTTACATGTCCATGGGTTACATCTCCATGTGTTTCATCTCCATGGGTTTCATCTCCATGGGTTTCATCTGCACGGGTTTCATCTCCCCGGGTATCGTCTCCAAGTGTCCTCACGCTCTTGAATGTAACTCGCCGACGCAGCCTGCTAGCGCTGCGCTGCCATTGGCCAGCAGAGGCACTGAAAGACGGCTCTAAAATGGGGCGGTAGCGGCTCTCTTTGTCCCTTTCCTCCCCTGTCCCAGTCCCACCTGCTACAGCCTCTGTACCTGCTACAGCTGCTGCCCCTGCTACAGCCGCTGCACCTGCTACAGCTGATTCCTGCTGTGATGCTGCTGGTGCTGCTGCCCCCGCACTCTCTGCCACCTCATGTCCTGCAGACCCCACCCCACCCACAGCAGAGGTGCTTTTGAGTCGACTCAAAAGCACCTCATGTCCTGCAGGCCCCACCCCACCCACAGCAGCCCCTACCTGCTGCACCCCGCGCCCATTCATCCAATCTCCCCGTTTCCCTTCCCCTTCCCCTTCCCTTCCTGAACCTATCTCCCCATTTTCTTCAACACCCTTATCCTTTCCTCTTCCTTCCCCCCTCATCCCCTCCCCTCCCCTCCCATCAGCCTTTTTTCCAGGAACCGCCTTCTCAGGTATCCCCTTCCCAGCTAACCCATTCCCAAGTAACCCTTCCCCGAGTAGCCCCTCCTCAAATACCGCCTCCCCCATGTCACAGGTGTCATCCTCATACCCCGCCATCAGCTCCCCCTGCAGCGACCGCGTCTTGGCCAGAGCAAGCAGTTTCTGGGAGAAGAACAAGGGGGAGGGAAGGGGAGGGGTGTGACAATGCAGCAACAGCTTGTCTTGGCCAGCGTCAGCAGTTTCTGCGAAGAAGAAAAGGAGGAGAGAAGGGGGAGGGAGGGGGGAGGGGATGGAGGGAGGTGTGTGAAGGGTCACATCACAACTGAGGTGTTCCCCTCATTCCCCGCCATCAGCTCGCCCTGTAGCGAGCGGGTCTTGGCCAGCTCCCCTCACTCCCCTGTAGCGAGCGGGTCTTGGCCAGCTCCCCTCACTCCCCTGTAGCGAGCGGGTCTTGGCCAGCTCCCCTCACTCCCCTGTAGCGAGCGGGTCTTGGCCAGCTCCCCTCACTCCCCTGTAGTGAGCGGGTCTTGGCCAGCTCCCCTCACTCCCCTGTAGCGAGCGGGTCTTGGCCAGCTCCCCTCACTCCCCTGTAGTGAGGGGAGGGAGGGAGGTGTGTGAAGGGTCAGAGCTCAAGTGTCCCCCTCGTACCCCGCCATCAAGACTCCCCTGTCATTATCAGAGGAGTGAAAGGTGAGGGTCCGGTGCCAACTGCCAGATACCGCCTCCCCCATGTCACAGGTGTCATCCTCATACCCCGCCATCAGCCCCCCCTGCAGCGAGTATTGGCCAGCAGGGGGGGCTGATGGCGGGGTATGAGGATGAAAGCAGGTGTGGAAAGCCCCCCCCCTGCAGCGCGACTTGGCCAGCAGGGGGGGCTGATGGCGGGGTATGAGGATGACAGCAGGTGTGGAAAGCCCCCCCCCTGCAGCGCGACTTGGCCAGCAGGGGGGGCTGATGGCGGGGTATGAGGATGACAGCAGGTGTGGAAAGCCCCCCCCCTGCAGCGCGACTTGGCCAGCAGGGGGGGCTGATGGCGGGGTATGAGGATGACAGCAGGTGTGGAAAGCCCCCCCCCTGCAGCGCGACTTGGCCAGCAGGGGGGGCTGATGGCGGGGTATGAGGATGACAGCAGGTGTGGAAAGCGCCCCCCCTGCAGCGCGACTTGGCCAGCAGGGGGGGCTGATGGCGGGGTATGAGGATGACAGCAGGTGTGGAAAGCCCCCCCCCTGCAGCGCGACTTGGCCAGCAGGGGGGGCTGATGGCGGGGTATGAGGATGACAGCAGGTGTGGAAAGCCCCCCCCCTGCAGCGCGACTTGGCCAGCAGGGGGGGCTGATGGCGGGGTATGAGGATGACAGCAGGTGTGGAAAGCCCCCCCCCTGCAGCGCGACTTGGCCAGCAGGGGGGGCTGATGGCGGGGTATGAGGATGACAGCAGGTGTGGAAAGCCCCCCCCCTGCAGCGCGACTTGGCCAGCAGGGGGGGCTGATGGCGGGGTATGAGGATGACAGCAGGTGTGGAAAGCCCCCCCCCTGCAGCGCGACTTGGCCAGCAGGGGGGGCTGATGGCGGGGTATGAGGATGACAGCAGGTGTGGAAAGCCCCCCCCCTGCAGCGCGACTTGGCCAGCAGGGGGGGCTGATGGCGGGGTATGAGGATGACAGCAGGTGTGGAAAGCCCCCCCCCTGCAGCGAGTCTTGGCCAGCAGGGGGGGCTGATGGCGGGGTATGAGGATGACAGCAGGTGTGGAAAGCCCCCCCCCTGCAGCGCGACTTGGCCTGCAGGGGGGGCTGATGGCGGGGTATGGGGATGACAGCAGGTGTGGAAAGCCCCCCCGCTGCAGCGCGTCTTGGGTATGAGGATGAAAGCAGTCTCTTAAAGGAGGTGAGGAAAGAAAGGGGTTAGGCAAGGAAGGTGTGTGAAGGGTCACAGTTTGAGGTGTTATCTTTATGCCCCGCCATCCACAGTTTCTGGGTAAGTGGGGAAAGAAAGGGGGCAGGCAAGGAAGCGGGTATGAAGGGTGACAGTTGAGGTGTCATTCCTCAACTGTCAGCAAACAGTTTTTGAAAAAAGGGGAGGGAATAAGGGTCATGGATTCCCATTTTATAACGTCTCTGAAACCATTCACTATGCCGCAAAGTAACAGCCACCCCTGCAACCCCTGCGAACCCTCCACCCCCTCACCTGCACGTTCCAGTGCTCTAAGTGTTGGGACTCCAGCTTCTCTGCATGCTGCAAGCAACGACATTACCTGCCACCCATCCACCTGCATCCCCCTTCCCTCACCTGCAGGTTCCAGTGCTCCAAGTGTTGGGAGTCCAGCTTCTCTGCATGCTTCGCGCAACGACATACATCCTCCCACCCACCTGCAACTCCCTTTCCTCACCTGCACGTTCCAGCGCTAGAAAGGAACGCCCTTACACCATTTTTGAGGCGCCTCAAAAGTTGTTCCAGCGCTAGAAAGGAACGCCCTTACACCTCTTCCCATCCATCCATTCAACTTCACCCAACCACCGCCCCCTCACCTGCAGGTTCCAGTGCTGCACGTGTTGGGACTCCAGCCTCTCTGCATGCTGCAAGCAGCGACATTACCTGCCACCCATCCACCTGCATCCCCCTTCCCTCACCTGCACGTTCCAGGTACCAGCTTTTCTGCTGCCTGCGGCAAGTTTTGAGACGTCTCAGAGGCTGCCTGCGGCGATGGAGATACACCCGTGCCCACCCATCCCCTCACAAGCTACCAACGTCCTGCAAGGAAATCTCCTACACTGCTACCCACCCACCACCCCCTCACCTGCACCCCCCTTGCCCTCACCTGCACGTTCCAGTGCTCCAAATGCTGGGACGAGAGCCCCAGGTGCAGCACCTCATGCATGAACACATGAGCAAAGCTCAGCTCGTTCTGCCCTTACACCCCCATCCCCTCACCTGCACCCCCATCCCCTCACCTGCACGTTCCAGTGCTCCACGTGCTGTGAAGACAGCCCCAGGTCGAGCACCTCGTCCATGAAGACATGCGCAAAGCTCAGCTCGTTCTGCGCCAGCCCGAAGCTGATCACCACAATCACGTTCCTCACCGCGCCTATCACCAGCGGCGCCACGATATGTGACAGTAACGAGAGGATGAGTGCGGGGAGAATGAAGATGATGTTCCACAGGAGGATGCGGCCAAAGGAGGCGAAATAGAGCAGCCAGTCCAGGCCGACAGCGTCGTGAGGTGGGAACTGGGGGAGGGGCTTCCAGAAGGGCAGCTTCAGCATGTTCTCCAGGTGCGGGAACACGTAGGCTCGGGCGATAGGCTCGGAACTCAGGGCAAGGCTGGCCTGGTTTGGAGTGAGGGAGGGGATAACAGAGGGGACAACAGAGGGAAGAGAGGGAATGATGGGGTTGAATTGAAGGGGAGGTACCCAAATGCAATGCAATGCAGAGCAATGCAATTCAATGGAATTTAATTCAATGCAATTCAATTCAATCCAATGCAATGCAATTCAATGCACCTCCCAACTCCCACCTCCTACCTCCCACCTCCCACCTCCCTCCTCTCACCCCCCACCTCCTACCTTCCACCTCCTACCTCCCACCTCCCACCCACCTCCCACCTCCCACCCACCTCCCACCTCCCACCTCCCGTCTCCCGTCTCCCACATTTAAGAAACGTCTCCTCATCTAGTTTGGCTGTTATTATGGAATCCCCAGAGTGGATAGCCAGAGGGGAGGGTTGGTTCGCAAGAGGTCGAGCAGGGGGTTGGGGAAGAAGTATGGGCTTTCATAGAAGCTTTGATCTCACCTCAAGCAACGCCCCCTCTCACCTCATCCAATCTCACCTCATCCAATCTCACCGCATCCAATCTCACCGCATCCAATCTCACCGCATAAAATCTCACCTCATCCAGCTTGCCAGCGTGGACGACCAGTGCTGACATGGCATGCGACCAATCAAAGTCCGGCGAGTGGTAGATGTTGCCGCTGTAGAAGGCAGTGCTGCGGGACACCTGGAGGGGGGAGATGATGGGGAGGAGAGGTGCAGTGTGGTGATAATAATAACAGCAATAATGTAGTCACTGTTGAGGATTTTTCGAAAGAGGAAAGCAAGCAGGCGGTTAGGCAAGTTGTCACAAATCAAATGTGTGGTTCGCTCACTATTTTTACTGCACTTGAAAAAAAGAAAGGCGAACGGTCCAGTGGTTCCCTCACTCTTCCAGTGCCATGGCTTTTGAGTCGACTCAAAAGGCACTGTAGAATGTTGCGGGACGGAGAGATGGAAAGGGGGAGAAACGGAGGGTAAGATGTGGTGCAGTGCGGTGCAGTGCAGTGGGAGCGCACCTCGATGCTGACACTGATGGTGGCGAAGACAAGAATGAGCGCCGATGCAATCATTGGCGCCACGTAGGGCGCATGTACGCTGAGGGGGTTGAGTGCGGTAACATGCGGTGGGTTGGGGAGAAGGGTGGGTGGGAGGACAAGGTGATTGATGGCGTCAATTAGGAGGTATCCGCTCCAACGGAATCGGTGGGGGGGTGTGAGGAAGGTTGGAGGGAGGAGGAAGGGTTGGTGGAGGAACCAGGGAAAAGTAGGGTGTAGGGTTCAATATTATGCCCTGGGGGGCTCTATCCGAGAGGAATAAGGTACCTTTCATGAGGCGACGGCGCTGCAAATGGCTTGTGAGTCGACTCAAAAGTCTATCAGGGCGGGATTTCTATGCATACCTTTTGTGAGCAATGGCGCTGCGGATGGCGAAGGAGACCAGCATGGCATAGCCCAACCCAACATCACCAGCTGCATCACGACAATACTCGCCACCGCACCCACATTCAAATCGGCTCAAGACTCACCTTTCACGAGCAATGGCGCTGCGGATGGCGAACGAAACGAGCATGGCATAGCCCCACATCACAGCCAGCATCACCACTATACTCGCCACCGTCGCCAGCAGCAGCCACCGCACTCCATTCCGCTCCCACTTCTTGACATAGAAGGGCGTGCCCAGGAACACAAGGCAGCCCAGCGCGTTGGAGAGAGGGGAGGTAGCGAGGCGGTGGGAGAGGAAGAGGCGCTGCCGCTTGACAGGGAGGCCCAGGAGGGAGTCTAGCCAGCGGTAGCGCCCCCAGGGGTACTGCTCCTTGATGCGATTAGATACCTTGCCGCCCGTCATGCTGTGGGAAGGGAAGGGAGTGGGTAAAGAAGAGAGGAGAAGAAAGGGCAAGGAAACGGATTGGTTGGGAGGCCCAGGAGGGAGTCTAGCCAGCGGCGGTAGCGACCCCAGGGGTACTGCTCCTTGATGCGCTGAGATACCTTGCCGCCTGTCATGCTGTGAGCGGGGGGGACAGGGGTGGGCAAGATACAGCAAGGAAGGAACCGCTTGACTGGCAGCCCCAGGAGGGAGTCTAACCAGCATTATCGCCCCCAGGGGTACTGCTCCTTGATGCGCTGGGAGACTTTTCCACCTGTCATGCTGGTATGGGGGGGACAGGGGTGGAGAAGTGACAGCGACGGAGGGACGGGTCACGGGAGGGCAAGTGAGGTGAAGGGAGGTGAAGAGAGGTGAAGGGAGGTGAAGGGAGGTGAAGTGAGGTGAAGATAGGTGAAGGGAGGTGAAGGGAGGTGAAGGGAGGTGAAGGGAGGTGAAGGGAGGTGAAGGGCACCTCACTTCACCTCACTTCACCTCACTTCACCTCACATCCCCTCAACTACTCACATAAGTTCTCCCCTCACATGGGTTGCCTTACCTCCTATCTACCTCACCCCCTCCCTACCTCATCTCTTCCTCGCCTCACCTCCTCTCACCTAATGTGCTCACGCACACACCTCCCCGCAAAACAGTGAAAAACCAGTAGTGCATGCAGTCATGCACTGCACTGCACTGCACTGCACTGCACTGCACTGCACTGCACTGCACTGCACTGCACTGCACTGCACTGCACTGCATGCACTGCACTGAACTACAAAAACCGCTGCCAACCTCTTTCAACCGCAAAGCCTCCTCGCCTCCGCGTGGCCACGAGGGACGGGACGAACCGCCACCAACCGCTTCTAACCGCGGTTTCCCCCTTATACAGGCCCCCTCACCTCACCTCCGCATGGCCACGAGGGGCGGGAAGAAGCGGCTCCACCCGGACGGATAGTCCACCTGGCGCCACTCCTTGACCATATCAAATCGACGCTTGTATGCCGCCGAGAACCGCTTCCTGATGGCTGGATGCAACGAGGAGAGAGACTTTGTTGGGAGCCTCTTCATGTACTGGCGGGGGGCAAGGGGGATGGAGGGGGGAAAAGGGTGCAGATGGGTGCAGATGGGTGCAGATGGTGATCATCCAGCTGCATGGCTGGGTGTAGCGTGGAGAGCGACTGTGCTGGGATGGGAGCCTCTTCATGTACTGGCGGGTGGGGGGGGAGGGGTTGGAGGTGAGGAATTTTGGTAATGGGGGCTCAACCCCCCATCTCCACCCTTCATTACTCAACCAGTAATGAAGCCCCATCTCCACCCTTTGACTTTTGAGTCGACTCAAAATTCACTGGTGAAGTGAAGGCCTGGGCTTTAAAGCGCACTCACTTAAGAATCGAGCACGCTCAATGCATTCAACCAACCAGCATTCACAATCTCATGGCTTTAAGCAGCGCGTTGCACCAATTGAATACCAACTGAACCTGGGGATGTATCTAAAACCTGGGCTTTAACTAGCACTCACCAGCTCGATGGCTTTAAGCAGCACGTTGCCTCCGTGGGAGTGGGCAATCACGTGGATGCGCGCCGAGGGGTCGCTGCGCGCTATCAGGTCGAACAGCCGCGCCAGCTGTGATGAAAAGGAGCGGGGAGGGGGGGGCGGGGCGGAGGAAGGGGGGAGGAGCGGGATAGGGGAGAGGGGAAGTACTGGAGAGTAAACAGGAGTGAGCAGTCACGTGGATGCGCGCTGAGGGGTCGCTGCGAGCTATCAGGTCGAACAGCCGCGCCAGCTGTGATGAAGGGGAGAGGGAGGGAGGGGTGGAGGGAGGAAGGAGGAGGGGGGGAGGGGAAGCTGATGGGGGAGTAGACAGGTCACAGGAGTGAGCAACACACCGCGGTAACGGAGGGGTGTTGCTGCTAGCAATCAGAACGAACAGCGGCGGGAGCTGTGTTGAAGCGGAAAGGAGGGGGCGGGGGGCGGGGGGGGGGGAGGAAGGGGGGAGGGGAAGAAGATGGGGGAGAAGACAGGAGTGAGCATCACTCCATGGTAACCGAGGGGGGTTGACATTTGGGTCGACTCAAAAGTCAGTTAGCAATCAGGTTGAACAGCCGCGGCCCGCACCAGCTGTGTTGAAGAGGAGGGGGAGAGGGGGGGGCGGGTGGGGAGGGGAAGCAAATGGGAGAGCAAACAGGAGTGAGCAATCAGGTCGAACAGCCGTGCTAGCTGTGATGAAGAGGAGGGGAGGGGGGTTGAGGGGAATAGGAATAAGGGAGAGGGGAAGGGGAGGGGGCCGAAAGGGGGAAGTTACCAGGGTGGCTTATGAGTTGAGTCAAAGAGGGGTCAGTGCGAGCTATCAGGGCGGTGAGAGCTATCAGGGCGGTCAGGGCAGTCCGGGCGGTCAGGGCGGTCAGGGTGGTCAGGGCGGTGAGAGCTATCAGGGCGGTCAACTGGGAGCATGGGGCGAAGGGAGAAGAATAGAGGGGTGGGGGTGGGGTTAGGGTGTGGGGGCCGAGGGGGGGGAACGAGGGAGGGGGGTGGTGGGGCGGGTTAAGCGGGAGAGTGAGAAGCGGCGAGCATGTGAGCAGGAGGGGTTGATGCAAGTAGAACAAGTGCGTGCGTCAGGGGAGAGGTGTGGAAGGAGGTGTAGAGGTGTGGAAAGGAGTGAACAGGTGTGGAACGGGGTGAAGAGGTGTGGAAGGAGGTGAAAGAGGTGTGGCAGGGGGGAAGAATGGGGAGAGTGCGGGAGGGCAGGAGGGAGTAGGAGAGTGGGGGAGTCGGAGGGGAGGGGATGGTGGTAGGAGCAGGAGAAAGGTCAGACAGAAGGAGAGAGGGATGGGAAGGGAAGGCAAGAAGCAGCACCCCACATCAACTACGGAAGGTACGAAAATCTTCCCTCCTCCCTGACTTCCCTCCTCCCGCCTGTCTTCCCTCCTCCCTCACTTCCTTTCCTCCTCCCTCACTTCCTTCCCTCCTCCCTGCCTTCCCTCTCTCCCTGCCTTCCCTCCTCCCTGCCTCCCTTTCTCCCTATACCTCCCCCACCCGCTCACCTTTTCTGCCGCCTTCAACCGCGCTTCGTGCGTGTTGCTGCCGTCCCAGAAGAACGGGTAAGGCACGTCGCCGTCCATCATGCGCTGCCATGATTGCCCCCCCTCCTGCGACGCCGCATCCCCCTGCATCTGCCCCATCTGCGACGCAGCTCCCTGCGACTGTCCCCCCTGCGACCCTCTCTCATGGGCCTCAGCTACATCGTCGTGTGACGCTGCTCCCTGCGACTCCGCCCCTTGAGAATCCGTCGCGCGCGGAATCGCCCGCCAGACGCTCCCCGCGCCGATGGGTCCGCGCGCCAGCAGCGCGCCCATTTTGGCGCAGAAGTTCTTCTCCCCCGGCGCGGGCGGCTGATACCACGTGCGCGCGCCGTCCGCGGGCGGCGCATCGAAAGTGCCGTGAACGACGACCACGTAGTCCGTCTCGCGCCGCGCGTTGTGATCCACCGTGCGAACTCGCACGCCGCCCGCCTCAACGTCGCTCGTAACCGTGGATACGTCGCAGGCGACGTCGCCGGCGTCGTCGGAGCGAGAGCTGGCGATGTCGGGAAAGTCGTTTTCGGTTGCCAATCGTCGAAAGTCGTCGACATGACTGACCTCCCGCAATTCGCGCCGCGGCATTTTCAAGTATATGGGGTTCGCGTGGGGGAGCTGGATAGACACGTTGGCGCTATGAAGGGATGAATACTGGGATTGTGAAGGGATAAAATAACGCTTTATGGATTGGCTTTTGAGACATTTTTGCCCTACTTTTAGCTAATTCCGAAAAGATGCTAAAACGGCGTGAAATAGTGAAGCCATTATCTGACACACACAAGCGCAGGTGCTCTGACTCTCGTGAAATAACACATCTCGAGCCGCCCTTGTTCACACTCGGATGTCCACGGATCAACTACAGTAAACATAAGTGGTGCCCCCTTTCTGACAGATGAAGACAGAGCTTACCAGCATCATACTCCCTTAAGTACACCGGATTGTTGTTACAGGACTCATTTATCTTACACCATCGTTGTGCTACTATTATGGCTCCATCCGACCGCTAGAGTTAACATTAATAATTTCGATTCGGTTGTAAACAATCCGAAACAGTGCGTTGAAACAACAAGATATTGATAATTCATGTCCTATTAAATGTAGTACTAGTGATGTTTAGTTACTAACGAATGCTTCTACAAGACACTCTTAAATGTTAAAAAGAATCGGGGAGAAAACAAAGGACACACACATACATACGATTCTGTTTTTTTTAGAAACATACCAAGCAATAGGTTATCAGTGTTCTTCTAGCTTGCTATCTTGCTATAGAATTTACAGTTCGTCTATAATAATGAGATCGGACAACGATGGTTTCCACAATTTTCACCCCAATTGCATAATTTCTGCCTTTCATCGAGTTCCTAATCATGGCATACTAAATAAGTATAACTTATTGTAACAACTCACTACGACCCTTTAACAAGCCTAGGGCGTGTCAGATCCACGAACAATGCGTTTTGGTCGATTAATCATCGACCATATGGTTGTCATTTTCTTTCACGAACATCGATTGATTGGTCGACAAATTGACAACAATTTAGGCGGCCTCTATATTGCAACCTTGCAAAACTGAAGGTCGTTTCAACAAATGTGGAAGATTTGCGGTAAACAATGTAGACATTTATAACGACCCGTCGCAGATATGCGTGCTATCTTGTCGCACGACCCATCGTGACGCGTAAACGAAAAGTTTTGGGACTCAACAAAGTCGTTGGTGTACTGTAACTGCTGATTGTCAACAACATGAACGCTTCCACGTCGACAAAGGGGTCGGAAAGTGTCGACCTTGATAAACAGCCATCATATTGCAAAACAATTGTCGTTATTTACCAGCTTCACAAAATTCACGGGGATGCTTGCAAAAGGGTTCTTTTCGCCAAGAACGGGCTGTCAAATTTTTTACACCCATGATCTGGCATGGCCTTAGTCATAATGAGTGTTAAATTTTATGAGCAGGTTGGTATATATGCTTTGCGGTATGGGATTCGTACAGATGAATTTATGTAGCTACTCGTTTAAGTGTAATAAATAATAGAATGGGGGAAAATATAAAGTTGTTCCCTATTTTGTGAAATGACATGCATAAATTTGAATTATGATGCGTTTGCATCCCATATTATTATTTGATTTTTTTCGCAGAAGGCGTATACCCGTTTGGTCCTTTTGCGAGCTGCATATACGCTGGGTGAGGGCGAGGTGGATTGGGCGGATCGACGGGGTGATGAACAAGGCATTGGAGAAGGGGGGGGGGGGGGGCGTCATCGGTGGATGTGCCATATCTGGTAGACATGCGACTGTAGATGTCTTAGGGAGCAGAAGTTCGTTGGGCCGTTTGGGTATAATCCCTTTAGGTTAGTGAAGGTCAGAACTTTTCCTAGGAGAACTTTTTCTAGAGTATGGCTCTAGATCTAGCTAGTGGTTTATTGCGTAGCTGTAGGACTTCTTGTACCATTCGATAGTTAGAAACAGAAAGTTAATAAAAAAAAAAAAAAAAACAAGAGGCAACGCGATCGTCTTAGGTTGCGAAGCGTTTTGCGTTTTCCAAAATTACATTATCAATGTACATTTTTGTGAATCAAGAAAAACAGGAATGAGAATGACTAAGTGAAAGTTGGGTACAAGAAGCAAACCCTAGAAAACTGTACCCCATATGTGCTACCCCACTCTAGCCTACAGTAGCTATGTCATATAAATCTGACACACCCCCATAGGCAAAGTGGGGGAGAACAAGGGGTCACAAGACCAGTCAAGCAAAGCAAAGCAAAAAACAAGCTCAGGGTGGATCACAAAGTCACCACACATTCCGAGCACAAGTTCAAGGCCACAAGGCCAGTTCACAAGCAGGAGTACACATATATATAAAAAAGGCTAGACAAACAAGAGCAGGTATATATATATGTAACAGTACAAGCAAGATCAAGAGGTGAGCAAGTGAGGCAAGGTAGGCACAAGGCCCAGCTGAGTACAGAAGCGCTGATGGTCACAAGGCGCAAGTGCCTTGGTGAAGATATCAGCAGTGTTGGCCTCAGAGGCCACGTACGCAAGACGCAGCTGACCACGCTGCTGCAGCTCACGAGCAAGAAAGTAGCGGAGAGCAATGTGCTTCGTTCTGTGCTCCAGTGGCTGCTCCCGACACAAGGCCAGCATGGCCTTGTTGTCTACGTACAGCACTGGAGGAGAACGAGGCAACTCTCCGAGGTCAGTCAGCAGGTAGGTGAGCCAGCGAAGCTCCTGTGCAGCCATGGCTCCTGCGTAGATCTCAGCCTCACAACTGGAGCCGAGAACAGAAGACGAGCGAGTAGCCCGCCACGAAACAGAGCCGGAACCAAGGCTGAAGGTGTAACCCTGCGACGACCGCTGCGTAGCCTGGTCGTCAGCCCAAGAAGCGTCTGCGTGCCCAGTAAGGACCACTGGACTCTGCCCTCCAAGCACAAGCCCCATGCCCGACGTACTGCACAAGTAGCGCAACACCCTCTTCGCTGCAGCCATGTGCTCCGGTCTGTGTCTCCCAGGAGCAACATAGCGTGCAAGAATGCTAAGAGGGTATGCAAGGTCAGGTCGTGTGCAGGTCATCAGGTACATGAGGCAGCCAACAAGCTCTGGGTACGGGCCACTCGACTCTACGGACTCATCCGAAGGCAGAGCTGAGAGCGAGTGGCGAGTAGGCAGAGGAGTGGCCTGAGGCGAGGAGTACGTGAAGCCGAAGCGCTGAAGGACCTGCTGCACCATGTGTGACTGAGTCAGGGTAATGGTGCGGCGTGCTCTGTCCCGAGTGATCTGCAAGCCAAGGTAGCTGCGCAGTTCACCCAGGTCAGTGCACGTGTGTCTCTTCTGCAGCTCGGACTTCACGTGGGCTAGTCCAGCAGTGTCAGCTGTGGCAAAGACCAAGTCGTCGACGTACACGAGGATGTAGAACGGCGGCAAAGAAGTGTCGGTGCGCAGAAACAGCGACGGGTCGGCAGTAGAGGGAGCAAACCCAAGAGCCGCAAGTGTAGTCCTCAGTGTGTCGTGCCACTCACGCGGTGCCTGGCGGAGACCGTAGACTGGCCGCCGTAGGCTCCACTGGGTGCCAGGAGGAAAAGACCCAGTGAAGCCAGGTGGGCGACGCAGCCAGATCTCCTCGTGCAGGCTGCCCTGCAAGAAAGCAGTGCTGAAGTCAAGAGAGTGTAGCTCGTAGTCACGGTGAGCAGCTACGTGCAGCAGTACCCGAAGAGTGGTCATCTTTGGGGTGGGAGAGAAGGTCTGAAAGTAGTCAACTCCCTGCCGCTGACTGAAGCCACGAGCCACGTAACGCGCCTTGAAGACAGGCGGAGAACCCGGCGGTCGCTTCACCCTGAAAATCCACATGCCACTGACGATGTTCGCCCCAGGAGGGGGAACAGCGTCAACGTAGGTGCCTGTGGACTTCCAGGAAGCCATCTCTGCGTCCATAGCTGCCTGCCACTGAGAGGAGTAGGGACCCTCTATCGCCTCCGCGTAAGAGCGCGGAGTCGGGATGTCAAGTGCATCCGGGTCTCCCTCAGGGGTAAGCAGTACGGACACGAGATGAGGTGAAGCAGCGGCCAAGCACTGGAACTCCTCCTGCCTGTCCTCAAGGACGTCCGTGCCAAGGGCACACTCACCCCCGACGGACGGAGGACAGACAGACTCAGACTCAGCAACAAGACTGGCGACGTAGTCTAGGCGACAGCGAGCAGCAAAGTCGACGAGCTCAGCAACTAGAGCAGACGCAGCAGTGGACTCAAAGGAAGGGTCCGTGACAACCGTAGCAAGGAGACGCGTGACAGTAGGACTGGCAGCGCGAAGAGAGTCCGACTCCGGGTCGGCAAGAGTAGGAAGAGAAGACTCAGGAGGAGAAGGCAAAGGGGCACGCAGAGGAGCAGTGGACGGACGCAGAGACATCCGGTGCGTGCCAGGGACAGGAGGAGGACGCTGACGCGAACCGCGACCACTAGTGCGAGCAGCACGGACAGGCGACGCAGGGCGAGACGCAGGCTCACGACGCTCAGCAAGACCTCCAGTAGGACCAGTGTAGGGAGACGGAGCAGGCAGTGGGGAGGCCGGCTGTAACTGTAACTGCGACGGGACAGGCTGTGGACACTCTAAGGGAGGAGGAGGACCAGTAGAAGGCGGGAGACCAAGAACCTGCTGAAGGAGCGGAACGAAGTACGGCCGAGGCCGCGCGGCGACTCCAGACACAGGAGGGACAGCACCAGCACCCGCAGGGGCAGCACCAGCACCAGTAGCAGCTCCAGCTCCAGAACCCCCAGCAGCACCAGTAGTACCCCCAGCAGGACCGCCTCCAGGACCGACAGCAGTAGCCTCCGCGCCAACACCCGCAGCAACTCCAGCTCCAGAAGTACCCGCAGGTCCAGCAGCTCCAGAACTCCCAGTACGAGCACCTCCGGGACCCGTGGCACCAGCTCCCTCAGAAGCAACAGAACCTCCAGTACCCGCAGCACCTCCAGCTCCAGCAGCTCCAGCAGCTCGCCTCCAGCGCCGGGCAAACCACTCACGCAGCTCCTGGGGAGAGAGTGGCTCTCGGCGAGAGGGAGCACCCGGTGAACCGCCAGGCACAGCACCAC